CAAACTAATAGTCATGGAAATAAAAATGCTAGAAAGTTAATTTTCGTGTTCGGTTACATGTGTGAGCCACTGTATCTCACGATTCACTAATCCAATCCAGATAAACTATACACCATTCGATTCGCCAAGACTTGACGAATCGAATGGAGATATTATTGAACTCGTGAATCATGCCCTAAAGTTACTGGACAAATTTTCTTATTTCCCCATTTTTTTTTAAAAACAGAGTAATACCTCATAAAGCCACATATTTACTGAGATATAGTGAAATAGTAGAATTTTAGTGGAATTTGGCCTGGTGAATCATGTGTTCAAAATTAAAATTTCCAAAAATTCAGCAATTTTGAAACATGATATCTTAAAATTACTATCATTAAATTTATCAAAACTAGATAATTTAATGATAGTGTGTTTGAAAAATATAGTTTTTGTTTGAATTGAAATTATGAATTATAAATATTGCATTCTCAATTTTTATTTGATTTTAATCTGAAAATTTTATAACTAAACTAATGATTTTTTGTAACTAAAAAAACTGGATTTTTGTCTTATTATTTTTTATAGAACAATTACTTTATCTAATTATTAATAAAAAGTTTCAAGAATTAATTAACTTATAAATATGAGCTTTATTTGAATTTTTTATGATAATATTTTCTGAATTATTATTTTTTATTTTTTTATTTAAATTTTAAAGATTTATTACTTAATTCGATTTAATTTAATTATAAAAATTCCTGTTCTTTTTTGAAAGAATTTTAGCAAACATCTGGATTTTCTTTTTGAAATTAATATTTTTATAATTCCAGTTAATTTTTTAATATTTTTCTAAAAAATTAGTTCATATATTTTATTAAATACATAATTTATTATATTTTCTAATTTTAATTTATGTATATATTTTCTGATTTATTTCTAAAAAAATCAACAGATTTATTTCTAAATTCAAATAATTTTTTTTATTAATAAATATAAAATTTTTAAAATATTTATATATATAAAATAATAATTTATATAAAAATAGATATATTAATATTATTTTTATTAAAAAAATATTATTAAGTAATTAACAAATATAATTAAATAAATATTAGCAAATTATATTATTAACAAAAAATAATAATTAACTTATTTTTTTTTCTTTTTTTACTCATAATATTACTTTTTCTGTTTTTTTATATTTTTTTAATTTATTTTATTATTTTACAATATCTTTTTCATTTTTATTTTCAGAATTATTTTTCAAAAATTTCTTTTTTCTTTTTATTTAGTTTTAATACTAATATTTTTTAATGAATTTAATCACTTTTGTTATATTATATTTTCAATTATAATTTTAATTTTTTCTATTAAATTATTTAAAAAATAATTAATAATATATTTTAAAATATCTATAGCAACAATTAGAAATAATCCAATGATATTAAAATTTATTAATTAAATATAATAAAATATGAATTTTTCTTTTTATATAAAAGTTTTTAATTTTACTAATAAATATTTTTATTTTTATATTAAAATAAAGATAATATTACATATATTTTTTTCAGATTTAATCTAATAAAGTTGTTCTAATTGCATATAAAGTTAATCATTTTTATTATTAAAAAATAATTAACTTTATATGCAATTAGAACAACTTGATCAGATTAAATCTAAAAAATATATAGTCAATCCTCTCTATATTTATGCCTATTTATTGTCACACTCTTCTATAGTCACCCTATTTTGCTTTTCCATTTACATATAAATATAATAAAAAATCTCTCTATAGTCACATTCTCTCTATAATCACCAAATTTTTCTTCCCCAAGGGTGATGACTATAGAGAGGTTTGACTGTATGATATTACCTTCATTTTAATATAAAAATAAAAAATATTGATTATGGTATATACCATCTAAAGTTATCAAATGTTTGTATTTATAAAATGGATAAACTTCTTTACTAAGAAGTAAATACAAAATTTAATCTATAAATATGCTCAGAAAGGATCTATTTTATCATATTTATGGATTAAATTTTGTATTTATTAGTAAAGAAGTTTATCTGTTTTATAAAATACAAACATTTGATGACTTTAGATAGCATAGCATGCACCATAGTAAATTTGAACAAAGAGAAAAACTTGCATTTTACTATGTTTAATTAATAAATTTTTGATGTCATTGCATTATTTTTGATTGTCACTGTATATTAATTTAAAAATATACTATTTTATATAAGTAATATTAGTAAAATATAATATGACTTATAATTAATCAATTATTATCTTATTTATTTTACTATTATTTCAAATACTCATCATTGTAATAAATAGCGATAGAGATTTTCGATTAAGGAATTACTATTCAATACTCGTGATTGTTGTTCTGCATGTTTTAATTATTATAAACGTATAAAGCTGTATGATCTATCAAAAATAACGATATCGACAGCTAAAAGAATGCGCGAACTTAGATCTTTTGAATGGATCCTTTTTGAACAATTTATAAAGCAACATGGTTACGCAAATACATGTACAATGGGTGTGATAATGGAAAATTAAATTTAATTGGCGTGAAAAATACGAAGTTGTGTTAAAATTATTACATAATTCAAAGCAGTTAACATTAGAGCTTAATTAAATGAATACTCGCTAAATGTAAGCATGTTTTTTAATACAATTAAGTTTTTAAAATTGCGCTCGTAATTTATGGCATAACTTAACACTAATAGCGATACATGCATACGTATATGAATTTTTATTATATGTATATTTATTTACAGCTTTATAATTTGTTTGGCTAAATGTCATGAGCAGACAGCTAGTAAATTCGGCTAAAGACTACCGACATTATTATAATGTGGGCGAATTTGACTAAATTAACTTAATGTCGGAGATAATTTATCGACGCGACAAGAAAATATGAATAACAAATTTAACAATTTTTTTCCAGCAAGATTAACAATACTTCAAAACAAAACCACTTTTAGGGCTTGACACGTTAAAATTGCAACGTAGTATCAATACACAGTGCAAGTCGATATTTATTTATTTTGCAAAAAATAATTGGTTTTACTAAAAAAAATTAAGGTTTAGATTTTCTAAAGAGTCCGTTATATCGACTTGCACTGCGTAGCATCTTAGTGAACCAATTTAAAAATTCTATTTAGTTTCAGGTTATACTTACATAGTGAAACTCGATATAGCGGACATTCGATATAATGGAGACTAATAAAAATAACTTGACGTAGTAGACACGGACTATAATAATCCTTCTCGATATAACAGATTTACAATGTTGGAAAAATAAGCCACGTTTATAAATATTATTTTCTATATATTTTTCTTTCACATAATACATACAGCTATATCGATATTAATATTATTTAGCATATATGTATGTACTGTCTATATTTGGATAATTTAAAAATTGTACTCTAATAATGACCAGGGTTTTGGCAGGATCCGTTTTGATGACATCATTGATAATTAGAAATCTCTTGAGAATTTGAATTTTGAAAGAATTCGTTTTGATAATATCCTGCCTGGATGATTAGAAATTTTTTAAGAATTTTAGGATTCGTCATGATGACTATGATTTTGAAAGGATTCATCTTGATGATATCCTTGATGTTTAAAAATGACTTGATTATATTCTCAATAACTAGAATTTTGAAAGGACGCGTCTTGATGACATCCTTGTTGATTAGAAGCTCTTTGATGATTAGAACTTTGTAGGTATTCGTCCTGATGGTCTTGATCATATTCCAGATGACGAGAATTTTGAAAGGATTCGTTTTGATGATATTCTTGGTGATTAGAGACGTCCAATTCATCTTGACGATATCCTTGATGGTTAGAAATTTGGAAGAATTCGTCTTGACGACATCCTTGTTGATTTGAAACGCTTTGATTAGAATTTTGGAAGGATTCGTCTTGATGGTCTTGATAATATTCCTGATGACGAGAATTTTGAAAGGATGCGTCTTGATAATACCCTTGATGATCTTCCTGATAATTAGAATTTTGGTGATTAGAAAGGCCTTGGTGGTATCTTTGACTATTAGAATTTTGGAAAGATTCGTCTTGATGATATCCTTGTTGATTTGGAATGCTTTGATGATTAGGATTTTGGAAGGCTTCGTCTTGGTGGCATCCTTGTTGATTAGAATCTTGTTGATATCCTTGACAATTGGAATTTTGGAAAGATTCGCCTTGATATTCATGATGATTAGAATTTTGGAAGGATTCGTCTTGATGGTCTTGATCATATTCCCGATGACGGGAATTTTGCAAGGATGCGTCTTGATAATATCCTTGATAATCTTCCTGATGGTTAGAAGTTTGGTGATTAGAAAGGCCTTGGTGATATCCTTGACTATTAGAATTTTGAAAAGATTCGTCTTGATGACATCCTTGTTGATTTGGAATGCTTTGATAATTAGGATTTTGGAAAGCTTCGTCTTGATGACATCCTTGTTGATTAGAATCTTCTTGTTGATATCCTTGACAATTGGAATTTTGGAAAGATTCGCCTTGATGATATTCATGATGATTAGAAGTTTGGAATGATTCGTCTTGATGGTCTTGATAATATTCCTGATGACGAGAATTTTGCAAGGATGCATCTTGATAATATCCTTGATGATCTTCCTGATGATTAAAAGTTTGGTGATTAGAAAGGCCTTGGTGGGAACCTTGACTATTAGAATTTTGGAAAGATTCATCTTGATGACATTCTTGTTGATTTGGAATGCTTTCATGATTAGGATTTTGGAAGACTTCGTCTTGATGACTTCCTTGTTGATTAGAATCTTCTTGTTGATATCCTTGACAATTGGAATTTTGGAAAGATTCGCCTTGATGATGTTCCTGATGATTAGAATTTTGGAAGGCTTCGTCTTGATGACTTCCTTGTTTATATCCTTGACAATTAGAATTTTGGAAAGATTCGCCTTGATGATATTCCTGATGATTAGAATTTTGGAAGGATTCGTCTTGATGGCATCCTTGTTGATTAAAAACACCTTGTTGATATCCTTGATGATTAGAAATTTCTTGATGATATCCTTGATAACTAGAGTTTTGGGAGGATTGACACTCTTGATAATTAGAAGTAACTTGATTATATTCCTGATGACTAGAATTTTGGAAGGATTCATCTTGATGACATTCTTGACGAATAGAAACGTCTTGATGATACGAAACGCTTTGATGATTATAATTTTGGAAGGATTCTTCTTGATAGTTTTGAGCATATTCCAGACGACTAGAATTTTGAAAGGATGCGTCTTGGTTAGAATGTTGGAAGGATTGGTCTTGATGACATCCTTGATAATTAGAAACGCCTTGTTGATATTCTTGACGATTAGAATGTTGTAAATATTCGTCTTGATGACATCCTTGATGATTAGAAACGCCTTGTTGATATCCTTGACAATTCGAGGATTCGTCTTGATGATTAGAAATTCTAGATAAATGAAATTCTTGTAATCCGGATGAAATTTTTTTGTAGGCAATTTTTTGATATTCAGGTAACGTTTTCCACAGATTTTTAGCAACGGTGGGAATTTTTCTTATCTGAAGCTTTCGATCCTTTATTTCTGCTACGACACATGCTCGAAATATAAGGAACGCATTCGGTGCTTTACTTTGATCCTTTCCATTTCTTTTTTTTTAAAAAAAATATTCCTTTGTAAGATACGGAGGGAAAGACGGGCTAAAGTTTGAAGGTGACATTTTCTTTTGATAATCCTGCTTCCTGGGCAAGGTTTTAACGATAAACGGAAGTTCTTTTAACCCGGACGAAATGTTGATGTAGGCTTCTCTTTTAACTTTATCTAGCGTTTTCCAATGCCATTTAGCAAGGGCAGAAATTTTAGTAGCGTCACCTATTTGAAGCTTTTTATCCTTTGTTTCTGCCGCAAGACATGCTCGAAATATAATGAACGCATTCGGCGCTTTAGTTTGATACTCTCCATTTCTTTTTTTTTTTAAAAAAAATTCTTTTGTAAGATATGGAGGGAAAGACGGACTAAAGTTTGAAAGCGACATTTGCTTGGTATGTAATTTTTAGACGCGATGGTTAGTTAAGTAAATTTTCTTGGATCAGTATTACGTGGAATGCATTACAATTCAAACTATAGTTGGGCACCTAAACCGTGTGTCAAATAGCATCACATGGTTTAGGCGTCCAACTATAAATATAAACATATGCAAGGTTGAACATTTGGCCACGATCGTTGAATTCAGCATTTACATTTCAGTATTATCATTGAGCAATAAAAACCTACATGAGGAGAAAGAAATAATAAGTAAGTGTGTTCGTTGTTCAAATAATATGATTTCGCAATTACATTTGCATTTTGAACAAAACAAAAAAGCACGACAAATTATTATATAATATTTTAGGGGGTGAGGGGAGTTTTAAAAAACCTTGCATTATCGATATATGATCTATATACCTTGAGATCAAATGTATGTTACGTAATACGTAATGTCAGGGCAATAATAAATGTGAATACTTTTATTTGATTTGTCAATTATACTTAGATACAATAACTAATCGAAATTAAAAATAAATAATTTTAGAAACTATTAAATACCTTTAACCATTTCACTTGCCCAATTCGTAATTTGAAACAATATCTTGGGGGGGGGGATATGTGTTCGATTTAGTATTCTAAATATAGAATTGATCGGAAGATTGGAAATTAACACTGAAATTTAAACCTTGTTTTTTTTAGTACAACCAATCAAAATTCGCGGTATAATGTCTTCAAAAGTTTTATTGCTAAATTAATAGCCTTGAGGTTAAATTAAACTTTGAGAGAGATACTATAGTCGGCGCTTTACAGTAAATAAAGTGTGGTTTCGATGATCAACATCATAAAAATAAGAGACTCAAGAAAAAACGATATTTTCAAGTGAACAGAGATTAAAATTCAGATTTTATAAATATTCTTCTCGATGCAATGTTAAAAGTGCTTTTGTGAAGTCGCCTTATATAACAAAGTTATCATAGTATTCATCGGAATCACTTTTTTGCGAAAGTACCAAATTTCTTTATAAAAATAATACAATATCTATTTCACTTGGATTCTACAAACTCCGATAAAAATGGGTTTATACCGATATAGTATCTTTTTACTACGAATGAAATTGATCATTTAGATACCTATTCTTGTTTCAAAAAAACGCCCATTCTCATTTGCATTAGATTAGCTGAATTTGATTTATGAAGTTATACATGTACAAGCTACCATTTGGAGATTTTTCTTATCAAGCTAGTTACCATTTAAACTTCTGGTAAATTAATTGTACATGTACATATATATGTAGCGGTGTTTATCAATATATGTATAAAGTGTTGCATCAAGTGGCCACATTCAGCTAACATTAGTTTGTTCTATTCTGGTCAAGAAACACACGAATTTTTTTCTATGTATATTTTTTTAAAATAGATATTTGTGGTTTGAAAGTAAGCCTTGTTCTGGGAATAGGCGCCACTTTTTGGCTTCTTATTCCCGGACATACCCTCACAATTCGAAATTAGTGTGATTTTAGATATGTTTTTGTGATTTAAAATAGTATTGGTTTTGCTACTTTTTGATTGAAATATCGGAGAATACGGTAATAGAAATTACTACATGGCCAAGTAATAAAAATTATAAGGAAAATGATCTAATAAGTAAAATCTAGTGATCACATAATGTTAAGTTATCGCGAATACTATCGCTATTACATACCGATACTGTATACGTATAACGATAAAATGTTTTGAGCACTTGTTTTTAGTGTGTTCAGAAAAATCCGGAAGATTGCATATCGATATTTTCGGAACAGGTTTCAATCTTTAAGAGGTTTTATCAAGTAACTATATATAGACGGATTTGATTCCACAACCGATTTAACGCCAGCCAAAAATTACCAAAATTGGGGTAAAATCTCAATGTCAAATCAATCATATCGATACATGTATTAATGTCCATGTACATGTACGTAGTACGTATCGTATAATAGAAAAAGTAATATCGATATCGATATACGTATAAATAAATTGATACTTTATCGTTATTATTTTTTTGACAAAGGAATTTGATAGCAAGGTAAAAGATTTTCTTATTGCACAAAACTTGGAATAGTTTCCGTTATTTATTCGTATTCTGCGCTTAACAATCAATAAAGGATAAAATATAAAATATAGTGGGTTATAAAGATCCGGCCACTTACAAACCATTGAATTTGACAACTCAAAAACAGGATTGTAAACAATAATAAATAAGAATAAAATTTAAATATTAGCTTCTAAGTTTATTTACTAATATTGTTTTGTATATACAATGGCGCTCAAAAGTAATGCATCACGTGATAGATAAATTTTGCGACGCAATAACTTCTCATACACGACGTTAAACAATATATAGCTAGGCTTATTTTATTCATCAAATATAAAAGAATTATTATATTTACTTTATTTTTCATCTGTAACTTAAAAAATAAAAATAATCCATTTTTACACCAAATTAAGTGGTCCGTTTTTTTTGACCGTTTTGATTACAAAAATTCAAATTGAAATTTCTAACTAAATATTCTTTAACATCTAGTGTATCCACCCTTTGCATTGATTATATCTTGGATACGCTCCTCCATACTTTCAATTAAACTTGTTAAAAATGCATTATCCATTTTGATCCAGACTTTTTGTATCGCATCCCAGAGTTGATCTTGAGTATGAATGGCAATGGATGATCTTCTCAAAGCCGGTCTATTTCGTTCCAGAGATGCTCGATTGGGTTAAGATCGGGTGATTGGGGAGGCCAATCAAGTATACGAATTTCATTATCATC